GCTTCCTGAGCGTCTATCCGATTGCAAAGGTGACATTGAATCCGGCCGGGAATATCTTGGGAATTCCAATCGGGTGAGTTTGCTCAATCCATACCACAAATTGGAACGACCAGCGGCTCTGCAGTCTCTGGACGAGCATGGCAGTATTTGTTATGCCCAGCTCTTCTCATTTGAGATCAATATCGATAGATTTCTGGCAACGTCTTGATTGCGCTTCGCCAGAAATTCATTGATATCGATCAGAAGCAGCGTAATCTCTTCCAGAAATAGCCTCACGTCGAGCAGTAGATTCATCGCTCCAAGCGATCCCCGTCTTCGCGCTGCTAACCTGAACTAGACGCTACCCAGAAGACGCATACAACGGCACCGGAACAGCACCAGACGGCGGCAATCCCTGGTACTTGACCACAGCAGCAATGGCCGAACTCTTCTACAAATCTTGCCTCGATTTCAACAAGGCAGGCCAAATCGTCGTCACCAACACATCACTCCCCTTCTGGGCCTACTTCGCCCCCAGCGCCGCTCTCGCAGCCGGTCAAACCTATCCCAGCAGCAGCTCCTCATACAAGGCCGCCATCGGAGCGCTCGAAGGGTGGGCCGATGCTTTCATGCGTCGCATCAAGTACCACACGCCTCTCGACGGACGCTTGGCGGAAGAGTACGACCGCAAAATCGGCTATGCAAATGGTGCCGAGAATCTGACGTGGAGCTATGCCGCTCTCATCACGGCGGCGATGGCTCGGGCGAAGTTGATGAACAGCGGTGGCTATACTAGCGCTTTGGCTGACCTGGGATTTGCTTCATAGCGCGGCTGTCATGTGCTGGGGCTTTGCGATAGAAACTGGCATTTACATTAGACCTGGGTGAGAATGGGATAGGCAAGGCTAAGGTCCAATGCTTGTAATACTGTTTTGATCCTGGATCTATGGCTTTCCTTTTCGATAGATAGAAATCATTGATCGCTCCTGATTTGTGCACTGGCGATTTTGTGCCATGCCTTTCCCGAAGGATCATTGATGTCGATCTTAGGTGGACAGGCTTACGCTTGTTAGGGGAAGAATCTAGTGCACGAGATCAGATTCTGAGTGAATTGGAACGGTGCACAAACTTCAATTACCTATTTACCACATATTCCAACAATCATCGCTTTCTACCAGGTGTCCATAGGTAGGCACCAGACTTGATCGTCATCATCCACGACTACCGTTCCCGATGCCACTTCCGATGCCATTACCTCTAATGCCTCCAACCTCAGTGCCTCCGCTCCCAATGTTGCCACCTCCGACGAGCCAGGCCAGGTCATGCCGTCCCGCAGTCCCAAAATCCCGCTACTATCATCAAGGTTTTCATCGGATATTCTCCCTTTGGATGGTGCGATCCTGAACATAGCCAAGGAAATGATTTTGTTTCGCTCCTTCTCTTTCTCCTGTTGTTCTTTGCTGCTGTGCAAGCGTCAGTGAAGGCCAAGAGGCAACGGAGTGTACATGGCAGCATTCCGTCACTGTCCAGCACATTTTATACGACGGGCTACGCTTCGAGGTGAAGGCGTGGGAATGCAGGACGTCTGCAGCATGGTCTTGGCAGGTAGTGGAAGATGGAGCGTATGCTTCTTGAGCTAGGTGAAAAGAAGAGCGCGCTCTACATGTTTGGAGATGATTTAGAATATTGAGCTTGAGGCGAGTGATGTCGCTATCAGGAACTCAGTCGGTAGAGGGATTGCCGAAGTGAATGTTGAGTTGTCGAAGTTGAGCTGCATCAAAGACGCATTCTTCCTCCAGTGCTTGTCCGGTATCGGAGAAACGCATGTCGCGCGAAATCGTGATCCTGTCGACGTCGATGATCTCATCTCCTTCTTGATCCTTTATATACTCCTCGGCTTGCCCTCCTGGACTTGAGTCATTTTCAATTTTCGAATCTCCTCCTCTTTCAGGCAACCAGGCTCATCTGGCATTTCTTGCTGAACGCCAACAAGACTTCACTGTGTCCTGATCGACAGCCATGGGAAAATGCCATCTTCGGCTCTTACAACAGTGAACCTCAATGACCTTGCCTCATCCACCCTCGAGAGTCATCGAAGCACCATCAGCCGTGTCACAGCTGTCTCTAGCAATCGGGCAAACAGCAATGTAGAAGCCTTGCTGCCTCTTGTTGCAGTAGCCCCGACTGCACCGAACAGATGAGAATAGGGGATTATTTGGTCCCTGGGGGACAGTTGCATTGTCTTTGCAGTCATGTTAGGTAAATGAGCTCCTTGGCACCGGGGAGTCTAGCTTCTGTCTGTGGGATCTAAACTTGTCCAAGTCGATAGCTGCTTATAGAAGCTCACTTCTTTTTTGCCAAGAAGCCAAGGTACTTGAAACGGCTGCAAAAGCGATGGACCTGTTTCACAATGATAGAAGGATCACATTCTGTCCAGGACATTGCTTCCCGTAGTCGATGACTTCACTGAACCATTGTTGTAGACCGGACCAACACCACTCAACGGAGATGGAATCGTTGGTTGAAAGCGCGATGCTGAAGTAAAGGCCATGATTCTTTTACCTGACAGACATCAGAATTAGCCGTTCTGACATCGGATTGTGTTGTGACTCGAATTTGTTATTCATCGCAATTCGCGCCGTTGCGCCTTCGCGCTACCCGCCAATCTCACTTATCTGATAAGCTAATTGACCTTCCCGAGACATACTATGTATCTGCCAGCGCACCCTCTGCTCCAACTTTCACACATCACAGTTCGCAGAGTCAACCTCTAATCATTCAGGCACAAAAACCAGTATGGGGGAACTCAGTGTGAATATGCCGGTTCTGGCAGTGGAAGAACTAACAATAGATCAAGTTCACACCGCCTTCCGAGACGGATTGTACACAGCACGAGATTTGACGGAAGCATACCTTGCACGGATCGATGCTCTCGACCAGACGGGCCCAAAGTTGAATGCTATCACTGCTGTTTCAAAGACCGCACTCTCGGAAGCCGCTGCGCTGGATTGCTATTTCATATCGAATTCCGAATTCATTGGCCCACTACATGGAATTCCGGTCATCGTCAAGGATCAGTGCGATACAAAGGCGCTAGAAACCACCTATGGAAATCTTCGATGCAGGCACGTCCCCACGGAAGATGCAACCCTGGTCAAGAGGCTGAAGGATGCGGGTGCCATCATACTGGCTAAGAGCACCATGCCAGGTGAGACTGACCTGCCATATGTTTCGCCTGCAAAAATTGATTTTCATAGATTTTGCTGCTTCATACAACTCATGCTCGTCTGTGAGTGGGGAGACGCTGAATCCGTATAATACCGCGAGAGAGACCGGCGGGTCAAGCGCAGGAACGGGAGCCGCTATTGCGGCCAACTATGGTCTCCTTGGCGTTGGAGAAGATACAGGTGGATCTATTCGAGTCCCAGCTTCTTTTTGCAATCTCGTTGGCCTCCGTCCAACGGTCGGTATGGTGTCCAGAGCAGGGCTGAGTCCTTTGGTCAAGACGCAAGATACTCCGGGACCAATGACTCGCACAGTGAGAGATGCTGCCATCATGCTAGACGCGCTCGTTGGCTTCGATGAGAAAGATCTCTATACCACCGCAGTCTCAATCGCTGGACCACCAAAGGGAGGAAGCTATGCATCGAACCTGACCGGGAAGACGTTAGCAAGTGCACGGATCGGCGTCCTCAAATCTGGATTTGGTGATAACAATGATCTAGAGTGTACTGCCGTGAACAAGACCATTCGATCAGCCTTTGCGAAACTCACCACTGGAACCACATTGGTGGAGATTGACGATATTCCAAATCTCAAACACTATCTCGGGTTTACATCAACCTACAAATCTCGCTCTCACTTCGACATCGACAATTTCCTCAAAGCTCATCCGCATCTCGACCTCACCCTAGATCAGCTTTACGAGTCAAAGTCATTCCACCAATCCCTTTCATTATGGCAGGACATCGCCAGTGCGAAATCCAAAACGCACCCATACGAAGATCCCGACTACGCCGGTCGTCTTGACCAACGCGAAGAGTTTCAACGCATCGTCATTGGAATCATGACAAAATACAATCTCGATGCTTTGGCTTACCCGAGTGTGCGAATACCGCCGCCAACTGTTGAAGATGTGGTGGGTCCAAGGTTCAGTGAAGCATTTCCTACCAACACGGTGATTGGAAGCCAGTTGAGAATGCCAGCGATCTCTATTCCAGTTGGGTTTACGGAAGAGGGGAAGCCTCATGGTGGTTTGCCTGTCGGCCTCGAGCTACTTGGCATGCCATACCGAGAACAGTTGTTACTCGAATTGGCCTATGGGATAGAGCAATTGACCCAAGCAAGAAGAGCGCCTGTATTTTAGCGATTTGCATAACCGGAGGGTAGCTGACTCGATGCTTCGATGTTTTCACTATGTTTTCACTGTTTCTGCACATCATTAATCCTTGCCTGATTCAATGTTACTATTTACGTCCCCAGAACTCCAAGATCTGTTTCTTCCGACATGGTCAACGGTCAATCTCCCGTGCACTGCTGGATGGATGTCGTAAAGGACATGATGCAATTGAGAATTCTCCGACCGGAGAACAAAAAAAGGTATCAATAGATTTCGCCAATACACTACGCAGAGCAAGACTATGAATAGAACAATGCTCAAAAAAAAAAAATTAGACTCAGAGATTGTACCCTTGACCCTGACACCTATAAAAAGAGTCCTTCTCCGCTTCCCTCTTCACGTTCGCCTCAACAAAAGTAAATGCTGGCTGCACATCAATGGCAAGGTTATCACGGGTTGGGTTGCTCCCGTCCCCGTCCTGCGGAGATAGTAGATTCTGTCAGAAGACCCCTGTCGAATAATATGCGGCTAGCATTTCCTCACCTTAGAGCGTAGAACTCTTCACCCCAACAACACTTCCCAACTGCAAACCCTGCCCGCAAAATTGATTCAAAGGGAACGCTTCTAATGAACGACAGCACCTCATTCTAGATATGCCAAAAACAGAGTGAGAAAAAAAAGACTCTCCCACCGGGAATCGAACCCGGGCCATCCGCGACCTGTCATTGGCCGATCGACCTCATGCGAGTCGGCACGGTGGAGTGACAAGCGGATATCATGACCACTAGACTATGGAAGATTGCCAAGCTGAGCTTGTCATAGTCGAGATCTGGGAAACTCGGGCGGATATGTCCACATATATACCTAGTCATCACGAGCTGCTAGCTATCACAAATGACTGTGCACCATCTTCCCGATTACAAAGCCCTGTCCCTGGACACGACCTCGGGGAGCGTCACGTTTTGTTCCGAATCGTGCTAACCCTCATTATCAACCAAATGAATCTTTGTCCTTCCATCGAGAAGTTTCACTCACTGGATTTGGCCCCAAGGTTATGGCGATGCAACTCAAGAACGGATCAATGTGCCGACCGGTAGACCAACGACAAATTTAATCCGTACGGCCACATTGCCGTAGGTACTTGTACGACAACGATGCTACAACAACAACGAGAAGTGCCACCGGTTGATCATGGGTGAGCGTCCCGTATGCAACTAGCTGTTCTCGAAGTCGATTCGGTTATTCCGTATATCCGGATGTACTGATGTTGAACGGGGAACGGACCAAACAGATCGACAGATCTCTGGCACCTGATGCCTTCAACCCTCGAGGCTATCCTTGATATTGATCAACTCCGATCACTCCCTGGCCACCGAGTAACACAGGGCTATTTCGCGCATCACCAATTTTCCTGCTGGTGTTTTGAAACCCAAGTTGAAGCCGACGATAAAGACCCTTCACACTCAAAAGACGGTTGATAGACGTTGGCCATGTCTAGTGGTAGCTTCCAATATACTAACAATAGCACCGCTGCTAATTTCCAGGTTCGTTCTTAGTGCACGTGCGCTTGCAAATGTTATTCCGTGCAGGGGAGAGACTGAGATCTGGGAAGCGATAGACCATCTAATGCTGTTTGTATGACCGTCCGATATTATAGTGTAACCTCACCCCTCGTGGATTTCATGATTGACGCACTACCAACGAAGCAGCCAGGTACGAAGGCCATTGATTAACACCCAATCCCTTTTCGGCGTTTCCAATTATATCCTCATCGTCGCCTCGTCTGTATATATACTCCATCCAGATCAGTCAAAGCCCTATTCAACCACAAGACAGCAGCTTCATCGACAACAACGGCAACGACATCGACAACGACATCGACAACGACATCGACAACGACATCGACAACGACATCGACAACATGAAGTCCTCAACCGCCATCCTCGCCCTCGCAGGCTCCCTCAGCTGCGCCTTTGCTGCCCCACAGGGCACTGCATTCCAGGGATTCCCTCTCCCTCCCGCGGATACCCCATACTACTACTTCCGCACCAGCGTCCTCCCCAATCAGACCGAAAAGTACGACTATGACCACCTCTACATGACGGCTTACCACACTGGCGCTGGTACCTCCGATGTCACCTTCCAGTCCGAACCGTTGAACGGGCATCGTGGCTGGTTCAACGGCAGCTCTCTTCGCTGGTTCCAACCAACCAAACCGACTGACGCGCCTTTCGGACTCACCAAGGGATCTGGAACAACCTATGACTACTGGTACCCTGTATGTACTCTTCTTTTCCTCGTGATGCCATCTCTCTCTCTCTCTCTTTCTCTCTCTCTCTCTCTCTTCCAAGATGGAGGATTGTACTGACCAATCTCATCACAGGTCGCCATCAACGGCGGCGAAGGATCTGGCCATTTCGTTCTCGACTCCAACATGAACCTCGTCGTCACGAAGGATGGTTCCATCAGCAACTGGCTCGTCTGCGATGGGTCTCACAATGCACCACAGCTCTACAACACCGTCAGCTACGCGGCAGATGTTCCAATCCCAGACACTTGCGCCAAGGTCAACTTGGTCGCTGAGCTTGCTCCGCCATTGCTTGAGCCACCCACCGTCAACATCAACACCTTCATGGGTGCCTGATCTGGTCATCAACTGGAACTGCTTGATTAGCTCAAGCGACACGGCGGAAGTTTGAAGGAGAGTAGTGTTTATGTTTTGTCATTAGTGTATTAATAAAAACCCGGGTTTTGTTTTCCCAAGTTGTGCCCTCTCGCTCCGAACGTGTTTGAATTACAAATGTGGGATACAGCCTCGGCGCTTTTAGCCCTGGGAAATTCACCGTGGATTCCTGGCTATCTCTCAAAGATCTCTACCCAGGATCTTACCGACGTCCGATTCCTGATGAGGAAATATACTGGGCGGGGGAAATACAAATGATCCAGGATACTCCCCGGATCACTTTCCGACGACATCCCTCAATTCGATGTTAGGAACGATGTACGGCTCAACCATGTTCCGGACCATAGTGCGCTGCTCAAAGGCGTACCCGAACCCAATCAGCTTCGTCTCTGTAAATCTCGCACCGAGAAAACTCAGTCCGAACCTACCGATCGTTAGTCATGCGCATCTTGTCAGCTAGATTCCAGCAGCTCACGGGATTCTAGGGGCAAGGGCAACGAGATCCCCTCTCCTGTTCATAGTGACGGGAGTACCATCTGGGTAAAACCCAAGAGGGACGGTGACGATCGGGGCGCCCACAACGGCAGCCCAGCGTGAGGCGAAGGAAGTCGGAAGAATCACAGCGTCCAGGCTGTAGTTGGAGATGGCTCCGAACAGCCCTCCCACACCACCATAGTACTGGCCTAGCTGGTACGCGTCCCAGAATCTCGGATCCGTGTTGTTCCAGCCTTGGATGAAAAGAGCTTGGTCCCAGATGCCAGTGTCGCGCTCAGGCCAGGCCTCCAGCAGATCAGCATGCGTGAAGTTCCAGACATCGGCTAGCGAGGTGACATTGTTCGGGTTGTAGGTGAGGAGGCTAAGGTAGCTGGCTAGGTTTGATATGAAATCGGCGTTGAGTATAAATGTCTCAATGGGGGAGTTCAGGAGAGCTTCCGCTGCCGTAAAGTTGGTGTTGTCGACGATGGTTGCACCTGCGACTTGCATCGTACCTATCGCCTTGTCGAACGCGTCAAGTAGCGGACCAGTGGTGTTGTCTGAGAAGAGGCTCAGCACATTACGTGGCACGCCGATCCTGGCACCGCTGAAAGCAGAAATATTGCATGCGGCCACATAGTCTGGGATAACACCATTATTCGGAATGGCCGACGTGTAATTGTCGTATACATCCACGCCGGCGATCGCTTGAAGAATATACGCCGCATCTTTGACCGTCCTGGCCATGGGGCCAATCGTGTCTTGATGTTCAGAGATCGGAATGACCAGATTCCTAGAGGTCAACCCCACGGTGGGCTTGATGCCCACAAGGTTGCTATTTTCGGACGGCGAGACAATGGAACCATCTGTCTGCTCATGTGAGCATAGAACCCCATGATGAGCCTCACCACATACCTCAGTGCCCAAGCAGGCAGCAGCGAGTCCAATCGCTGATGAAACGCCTGAGCCGCTAGAGCTGCCGGAGGGATCCTGTTTGGGGTAATAGGCACCATATACTTGTCCGCCTAGCGCCGACCAACCGTTACTGGAGTTGAATGATCTGTAATTTGCCCATTGACTGAGGTTTGTTTTCCCTAGGATTATAGCACCCGCTAATCGCAGTTTCGAAGCGATCGCAGAGTCGCGAGGTACTTTCGCTCCCAGTGATGACCAGGAGCCAGCTAGTTGCGCCGCGTCAGAATAGATCGCAACGCTGTTGCATGTGGATGACACGTACCGGTCGTGTTCATTTTGTCGAGTGTAGCAATATTGTTTTTGATCAATATCGGAACGCCATGGAGAGGCCTGAAAGTATCAGATCTGCTTCCAAGAACGCCCATAACGGTGCACATACCCGCGTATCGTGCCATTAGCACGCTCACTGTCTAGCTGAGCAGCAATTGCCAAAGCATCAGGATTGACCTCGGTAACGGCATGGAGGGTTCCGTTGATCTGTTGTATTCTCGCAAGATATGTCTAACAACATGTGACCTTCATCAGAGGTGTCATCAGAGTTGAATTGGGGATACGCAGCTTCGAACATGACGAGGGAGCGCTCGGCAAAGATTTCGAGGTCTTTGAGTGACAAACTAAGACCGAGAAACCTGATCCCTGCACCAGGAGTTTGAGAAGTCTGGAAAAGCGGGCATGGCAGTGACTGGAAAGACCGGCGCCTACTTTGACAAGATCTACACTGGAGAAGGATCTGTTCGCGAGTCCAAAGGTTAATTCATCTATCGTTATATCGATCAAACGTGGGAATCTTGGATCTCGTCCTGCTTCCCCAGTGTTAGCAGGGCTGGAGATAGCTATTTATGATCTACTTGCCCGCACTCCCCTCAGGCGTTACGCATGCGGAAGTGAATCTATTGAGGAACAGGAGAGTCAAGATCAAGCAAGCGCTGCGAAGAGTCGCGAAAGCCATTGTATTGAATTATCGAGGATATGCTCGACAGTCGGCAATCTATCGCCAACAAGAGGTAAAGGATCGAAACAGCCTTAGGTGAACGAGGACCAGAGTCCCAAGTGCAGGAATATATGAAGTTCATGCTTTGGGCGATAACGAACTGGGGAACTAAAGGCGTACACGTCTTGGATGCAGATAAGCAGAGCAGCGCAAGCGATTGACATTGCCTGGGGCACAATCCTGCGGACATGCCGAGAATCCCATCGGGAGATCCGAGATATGCTACAAAATCAAATGCCATGTCTGCATAGACAGTCGTTATGATCTAGATATCTAAGCGAGCCAAGAGCCAATCGATACGAGGTCGGGTTCTCAAGGTACCGGACACTTCGCTTAGTTCGTACTAGTAGTGAGAGAACACCCTTTTGAAGTATTTCTCTACGAGCCCTAGAGCAACTAAAATAAAATAAGAATAGATCGGGGCGCAGTATTCTCTTCCATCTTTCTCTGTAGATGAAAGCTATTATCTCGCTACCGTAAAGTGAAGAGTCGAGTAAGTAGGGTAACCTTCTAAATTTGGGTGCCTCGGCTTACAGCATGATCCGGTCCTTTTGGAACCCGACCTTGTAATGTTTACAACCTATCAGGGGAAATAAAGGTTAATTCGTACCCCCCTATCACCTCCCTTGCCAAACTACGCCTAATAATCTATAAGTATAGAGAAAGTAGACTTATT